TTGATTTTAAGAGCATGTGAGGGAGTGAAAATCAGTTAGAAAGTTATATACAAACCAGAAAAAAAATACCAATAACAAAGAATGGCATCCAGTAGCAGTTCTTTACCTCACCTCCAGTTTTTGTGGGAGAAAATTATGATGTGTGGGAGAAAATTATGATTTGTGGGCTGCGAAAATGAGAACTTATTTGAGAGCACAAACTTTGTGGGATGTGGTGGAAAATGGAAGTAATTCAATCCCTTTATCTAATGACCCAACTATGGCTCAAATACGACTCCATAATGAAGAAGTGGTAAAGGATGGCAGGGCACTTACCATCATACATGTAGTAGTGCACAATGATGTTTTTATCAAGATATTGAATCTTGAGACAGCAAAAAAGGCTTGGGAAAAGTTAAATGAGGAGTTCCAAGGCAACGAAAAAACAAGGAGGATGAAGGTACTGAATATGAGAAGAGAATTTGAAGCAATCAAAATGAAGGAGTCTGAAACAGTGAAGGAGTTTTCTGACAGACTTTCTAAAGTTGTTACTCAGATTAGATTGCTAGGTGAAGAGCTTACAGATGAAAAAGTTATGGAAAAAATATTGGTGTGTCTTCCAGAGATATTTGAGTAAAAAATCTCCTCTGTTGAAGAGAATAAAGATTTTTCTCATATTTCAGTTGCAGAACTGGTTAATGCTTTACTAGCTATTGAGCAGAGAAGATTTCTTAGAATGGAAGAAAATGTTGAAGGTGCTTTTGTGGTCTACACCAAAGGCAAACCTCAAGGTAGAAGTAGCTATGAAAAAAAGCCTTTTGGTGGGAAGAAAGACAAAGAAAAAAAGATGACAACAACGAAAGAGGAGGTAGAAAAGAGAAGTTTTTTCACCTTGTCCTCCCTGTAAAAAGACAAACCGTACAGAAAAATACTGTTGGTTTAGGTCTGGAGTCAAATGTAGGGCATGTAACCAGCTTGGTCATGTAGAAAAAGTTTTCAAAAATAAGGCAAAGTAGCAAGGATAGCAAGCTCAAGTTGCTGAGTACCAAGAACAGAGTGAAGAGCAGTTGTTTATTGCTTCTTGTTATTCTACAAGTAGCAGCAAAGAAGTTTGACTCATAGATAGCGGGTGTACTAATCATATGACTCATGATGCTAGTTTTTTTAAGGAACTTGATCAGTCATACTTGTCCAAAGTCACTATTGGCAATGGAGAAAATGTTGATGTCAAAGGAAAAGAAGTGATTGTTGTTGAAATTCCTACAGGTACCAAATATATTTCAAATGTTTTATTTGTGCCTAAGTTGAGTCAAAGTCTTTTGAGTGTGAGACAAATGCTTGAAAAGAATTATGCTTTACATTTTGAAAATATGAGATGTACCATATTTGATCCTTATGAATGTGAGCTAATGTCTGTCAAGATGAGAGAGAAAAACTTTTCTTTAGAATGGAAACAAACTATTGAGCAAGCTTTTTCTAGCATAGAAGATGAATCTTCCTTGTGGCATAAGAGGTTTGGTCACTTTAGTTACTCAACCTTAAGACTAATGAAGTCTAATAATTTAGTTCAGAATATGTCTTCTATTCAAGAACATGATCATGTCTATGATGTATGTCAATATGGAAAGCAAAGCAAACTACCATTTCCTAATGAAGCAAGTTGGAGAGCTACTAAAAAACTGCAACTTATACACACTAATATATGTGGCCCAATGAGCTCAACATCCTTAAATGACAGTAGATATTTTCTGTTGTTTGTAGATGACTTTACAAGGATGAGCTGGGTGCTTTTTCTAAAACAGAAATCAGAATTGCTTGTTGTTTTTCAAAAGTTCAAGCTGGTAGTTGAAAATGAGGCTGGAAGCAAAATAAAAAAAAAAACTCAGATCTAATAATGGAACTAAGTATACAACAGGGGAGTTTCAAAAATTCTGTGCACAAACAGGAATTCAACTTCAATTGACTGCTCCTTACACCCCTCAACAAAATGGGGTGAGTGAAAGAAAAATAGGACCATTATGGAAATGACAAGGTGTTTGCTCTTTGAAAAAGATCTTCCAAAAACCTTTTGGGCAGAGACAGTTAACACCTTTACATACTTGTTGAATATGTTGCCTACCAAAGCCTTGAAAGGCAAAACACCTTATGAAACATGGTATGGAAAGAAGCCCTCAGTGGAATATCTCAAAATATTTGGTTGCATATGTTATACTCATATTCCAGAGGTAAAGAGAGATAAACTGGATCACAAGTCAGAAGTTGGTATTTTCTTGGGGTACTCCAGTAACTCCAAAGGTTATAGGATATACAATCCTTTGACAAAGAATATTCTCATTTGTAGAAATGTAAAGTTTGATGAATTTTCTAGATGGAATTGGGAGAAATGCAAGGTAGAAGCCTTAAGTAAAAAACAACTTGGAGTAGACACTCTCCAAGAATAATATTCAGAGATTGAAAAAGAAGATTTAGATGATGATGATGATGATTTTTCAATTATAGACACTAAAACTCTTATATGAAAGGTGTAACATTGTCGCACTAGAACCTAAAGAATATGATGAAGCAACTGAAATAGATGGGGTGGAGATGTGCTATGCAGGAGGAGATGAATATGATTAGGAAAAACAAAACTTGGCAACTTGTAGACAAGCCTACTAAATACAAAGTTATTGGTCTTAAGTGGGTTTATAGAACCAAATTGAATCCTGATGGTTCTATAAACAAACTAAAGGCTAGACTAGTTGTTAAAGGCTATCATCAACAACATGGTGTTGATTTCTTAGATACATTTGCTCTGGTAGCAAGACATGATACAATCAAGTTGCTAGTTGCATTGATAGCAAAAATTGGTTGGAAAATTTATCACTTTGATGTGAAATCAGCCTTTTTAAATGGTTTACTTGAAGAGGATATCTTTGTTGGACAACCTAAAAGCTTTATTGTTCTAGGGAGTGAAAACAAAGTCTACAAACTTCAAAAGGCTCTTTATGGATTAAAGCAGGCTCCTAGGGCCTGGTATAGCAGAATTGATAGTTATCTACTGCATAAGGGGTTTAAATGGAGTGAAAATGAAGCTACTTTGTATGTGAAAATGTCAAGCAATGAAGTGCAACTCATTGTTTCCTTATATGTTGATGATTTGCTAGTTATCGGCAAAAATTCAGATTCCTTGAGCAGCTTTAAGCATGACATGGAAACTGAATTTGAAATGACTGACTTGGGAGAAATGAATTATTTTCTTGGAATGGAGATTCACCAATGTGATGTTGGAATCTTCATCACACAAAGAAATATGCTTTGGAAATATTGAAGAAGTTTTCTATACAGAATTGTAAATCGGTAAACACACCCCTTGTTGTAAATGAAAAGTTGTCACTTGATGATGCTTGCAGCAAAGTAGATACTACTACTTATAGAAGCTTAATTGGAAGTTTATTGTATCTTACAGCCACTAGACCAGAATTAATGCTTGCTGCAAGTTTGTTGTCCAGATTTATGCATTCTCCTAGTCAAGCTCATTACCGTGCAGCAAAACGAGTATTGAGATATACAAGAGGGACAACTGATTATGGTCTATGTTTTTCAAAGGATGAAAGTGGTGATCTTTAAGGATATGCAGACAGTGATTGGGCAGAAAGTTTAGATGATGTTAAAAGTAAATTAGATTATGTTTTCTCATTTAGTAATGGAGTTTTCTCTTGGAATTCAAAAAAATAAGATGTGGTGGTTCAATCCACAGCTGAAGCTGAATATATTTCAGCTGCAACAGCTACAAATCAAGTCATTTGCCTTAGAAAATTTTTGCATGATATGAGGGAACTGAATGATGAAGCTACTGTCATATGGGTTGATAACAAGTCCGTCATTGCAATTACAAAGAATCCTGTCCAACATGGTAGAACAAAACACGTCAAGATGAAATATCATGCCATTAGAGAAGCAAAGAAATCAAAGGAAATCAGCGTAGAACATTATAGTTCAGAGAATCAGATTGCTGTTATTATGACCAAAGCACTTTTCAAGAACAAGTTTGAATTTCTAAGATCAAAGCTTGGAGTATTCAAGAAAAATATCAAGGAGGAGTGTTAGAAATTGAGTTTTTTCTAAAATACTTTAAGTAATTTCTGATTGTTTTCTGGTTTGATGATAATTCCTATTTTATGGAAGAGTAGGTTGTATGATCAAATATTAGGTAGAAAGGAGTAGTAGTTCTTATTTTGTGGAGATTCACATATCTCTTTTTGTATTAAAAAGAAAACCTTTATAGTATCAAAACACAACTCAGTTTTCTCCCTTTTATTTGTTGTTGAACTCTATATCATGCTCTATTCTTATTTGTTTCTGGTTTTATACTACTTTACTATTTTGCTTTTTTTCACATCGGAACCTAAATCAAAGAAAACAGAATCGATTGTTTATAATATTATACACTGTGCATCATTTATTTCTGTTTATATTCACAACAGAAACAAATTCTCATTTATTTCTGAATACAGATGCATCTGCAATTCTCATTTACTAAAATCCAACATAAATTATCAGTGTATATCCTCATTTCATTTCTAATAGATTCTTGAGAACAAACTTCCTATTTACAAGTTTAATGTTGTGCACCAGATGCAACAATAATATCTTCTAGCACAAAACATAATAAGGTCATCAACTTTTTGCTAAGTCATTGACACAGGCATCAAAAACTGACTATATTGTCAGTTTTGTCAGTGCAACCCCATCGACCACATGCAAAAAGGCTTCAAATTCTTACTTGAAAGATATATTCTTGATTGGCCTAAAATTATACTTTTTTATTTTATAAATTACAAAGTATTCAATAATACATATATAACTTAATAAATTACACAGGCCAGAATTTTATTTAAGAAAGATTTCTTGGCAAGGTTTTCAAATGAAATTTATAAGGTATACTATCAAAGCATGCAATCAATACTAGCATTAGAAATTAAGATAAAAAATCTCAAGAAAAAAAGAAACAGTGAAGTTTTTCTAGAAAAAGGAAACATTTACTCACAATCATAAGCCAAAAACCCCAAAGGGATTAGATATATAGAGTTCCTTAAAGCCACCGATGCTGTTCTCTGTCCAGATGCATCAGCAAGAGAGTACATCTTAAACCTAAACTTGTAACACAAAACACACACAAGACAAGAAGTAAAGGATATGGTATAGTTTGGAAAAAAGTGAAGGAGGGCAGAAAATACATATGTACATGCCTATGCGCATGGTGAATGAAGTGAGATAACATTAGTAAAGACAAAAATAAGAGACTGATTCCACTTACAAAGAATTGAAACTCATTTTCAGGTTTTTAGGGATTGAATTACTTAGTCGTACAACATATCAGTCATTAACACCATTGGACGTACAATTTTCTATTCCTTCAAAAATGTAAGTAGAGAGACAGCTAACACAGGGGGATAAGCTTTAAGATAACTACGCCAATTAAACCTAATAATACTTCGACCAATAGAAAGTCAATAAATCGGTCAGATAAAATTCTTCTCTGGAAATGTAACTTCATCGCACACAACATGTAACATTGAGTCATGTCATATCAGTCTTGTGTGGAACAACTTCACTTCATAGAGATTTTATTTTGTACTTTGTAAAAAAGATTAATAATAGTAACATATATTCCACAAGCATTCTGGAATTTGAAATACATAGGAAGGTAAAAAAAAGTGTGTACGCAGTTTACCCCAAAAGTGGAGGAATAGCACCAACAACAGCTCCGACCCATGTATTTACATGATGAATCTGTTTCAAGGGAGTATATACAAATGCATACAGGAGTAGGTTAAAAGCAGCGAGTCCAGCAGTTAACATATTAGTCTGGAATAACCTTGTCATAAAGCTTCAATGTTAGTCCACTCAAAGCACATCAAACATTTGATAAGAAATTCATTCATATGTTTACAAGCTACACAAGAAAAGCATACGATCAACAATGGACAAAAATTTGTTTCAACACCTGTGTTGCTAGCAGAGCTGTACCAGCTAATCCAACAGAGGATGCCCAGCAAACTGCATGAGACTTTGTGATACGTCCTGAGGGTAGTGGCCTTTGACTTGTTCTCTTCATTTTAGCAACATTATTTATCTCAAACACCTAAAAAAGACGCAGCCATATAATAGATCTTGTGTTGACCAAAAAACTAAGACTGTCTCTTATATTCTCCTACACTCTTAAAATAGAAGTACAGGAAAAAAAGGAAAAACAAATTAATCACAATAGACAATTTAGAGCAAGATGATCTCCTCCAAGAACCAACCTGTTCAAAGAGTTAGCAGATGCAGCAACCATCATGGTACCCAAGCAAGTCCAAGAAAGTGCTGAAAGATCAACAGCACTACCACTCCCCAAGACAAATCCAGTCCCCGATGTTGCAACCACAAGCATGCTGGAATTGAGTTAGAAAATGATTAGTTATGAAGATTTTTTGTTGTATGACAAAAGAGAAAAGAATAGGTTTTAGCACAATGACTACTATGAAAGAAAATACTAATTCTAACAAAATAGGGATTCTAGAGATTGTGAAAAATATAGTACCATTCCTGGTTTTTCGTAAGTGACATGTGATGCGCAAGGTCAAAAAGTTAAAAGGGAACCTACATCTAACACTTGCAATTATGAATAATGTATATGATTGTTTATCGACTCCTAGATATATACTTTATGTGGTATGTCCTCCTGAATTGAGAAATTTACTGCTTTCTGTTTGTGGTACTGTGGTTGTATAAACAATTGATGTTTAATTTTTACTTTACTTTATTTTATTTGAAGGTTTGATGTTGATGTTCCTGGTGGACGGGTATATAAAGAAAGTAGTTTTACAGAACCAGGTTGGATATTTACACTCTCTCTATGTAGAGTATTGAAGATTAATGAGCCTTTTGTTTTGCTTAGTCATGAACTTTCATTCTTGAAAATCTGAAGCTGGTTTTGAAATTTTCGTGTCTGTATCTTCTTCCTAAAAATAACAAGTAAAAGAACACAATTAGTATTAGTCATGTGATTCTGATTACATTTCCAATTATTTACTTCTCCTTCAATTGTATGTGATATTTTGTTTTAACTTCATTTCCTTTTACTGAAAATGGAGAGCAGCAGTAGCCTTTTTTTTATGGGGAATCGGGGAGTGGGGAGTGTTTGGCAAAGAAGATAAACACACTTACTACATATGATATGAGCTATGAAGGATGATGTTTTCATGAGAAAATCTATCTTGGTGATGTCTTCAGGCGAGGATATTGTTGCAGTAGACAGTCCTATTGGGCGTCTGGGCCTCAGTGTTTGCTATGATTTGAGATTTCCTGAGATATACCAATTGTTACGTTTCCAACATGAAGCACAGGTAGTGAGTGGAAATATTACTTTCCTGCTTAAATTAGTTGTCTAGAATCTAAAATATTTTTGTTTTACAACATCCAGGTACTATTGGTACCTTCGGCATTCACTGCAGTGACAGGTGCAGCACATTGGGAGATTCTCCTTCGTGCTCGTGCAATTGAGACTCAATGTTATGTAAGAATTCACTTTTGCATCTAATAATACTACTGCCCTTCCCCCTCTTCTCCCATACTTCCACCAGCTCCTTCTGAAGTGTGCTTAAAGAATAATCATTGGATTGGACTCGTTAAATTCTTTCACCACTGTGTCGTGTTGTGTATTCTTGCTAGTTAATTACAATTTCCAAATTTTTTTCTTTTTGTTTTTATGCATTTGTAATGATTAAAACAAGATATTTCAACTACATTTGAGCAAATATAGTGGTTTGATGAATGAATTAGCAGGTCATTGCTGCTGCTCAAACTGGCAAACATGGTGACAAGAGAGAAAGCTATGGTGACTCATTAATTATCGACCCATGGGGGACAATTGTTGGCCGATTACCAGGTAAAAAACTTGACAGTTCCTCATGTTTGTTGAGTTAATTCACTCTTGAAAGTCCACTAAACGTAATTCATTGAGTTTCTGTCCTACTTCTCTTCTTTCTTTTTGCTTTAGCAGAAATTAAGAAACCATTCACTTCTTAAAAGATTTAGGCCCAACTGTTCTTCTCAGAGAAACGTATTGTTTATAACTCATTACAATTTAAAAACATGTGAGAAAAGAAGTGGGGGGAATGGGAACTTCCATAGTTTCCCAAAGGAGGGAGTGTTATAGAAGACATAATTTTGCTTCAATTTTCTTTCGTAGATTTTTTTAGTGATACTTTCACTGTCCATCTTGGAGGTTTCAGCTATAACGAGTTTGTTGTACATTAAAACTTCCGTTTTTTATAGCACCATTCAATTTTTTCTATTCTTTTATGGCTAAAACATTGCTTGATGTAGTTTCTATTAGTGCCAATTTTTCTTTAGTTAGACCGAAGTTTAATGAATTCTGAATTCCATGGCTGGTTTTATGTTCCTTTTTCAGATCGTTTGTCTACAGGCATTGTAGTAGCTGATATTGATTTATCATTTGTTGATTCAGTCAGAGAGAAAATGCCAATTGCCAAGGTAGGTTTTGTTTTTATTTGAGCACAGCTTTTGTTAGTACTATTTTTACTATTTTCTTGTGCTTACATTTGTTCTTTGGTTTCAGCAAAGGATGCCAATTCACTTCTGGAAAGCTGCATCTCTGTAGTTCTTATTTGGACCAGTCAAGAAGTGGTACCTTATTTAAAATTATGAGATTTTTATGTACAAATGAAAAATGGGACCTTCCATATTAGATTCCCTCAATGATGGTATATACAAACATGAGTTTCGGACTTTGTGGTAATAAGCAATTCTGTGCCTTCTTATCTTCTACATGCTCCACAGGATCTAGTGCTTTTTTTCCACAATTTGGGGTTAGATTCATTGAGTGCGTAGCAAAGTACATTACTATGATTAGACTTAACCTGTTGTTTGTGAGTTCACTCGTTTTTTTAACCCTAAAGATTAAGATATCAGAAAAAATAATCCACTGCAAAATCAATTTGCTAATACTTTTCGGATTCAAATTATCTTTGACTATAACTTCAATAAAAACGTTTTATAGTAAATCAAATGGTGGAGTTGATGATTAAAAGCTAACAAGTTATTTTGGGCTATTATTTCATTTTATCCACAATAATAAACTATTTAGGTATAAAATTAATTACTACAGTAAACTTCATGTTTATAATTTTATAATGAAAAATTATGACCTTCGTCCTATTTTATTTTCCTTTTTTTTACAAACAAAATAAAAACATTTTTCTTATAATTTTACAATAAAAATTATTATTTTAAAAAACTCAAGCAAGAATTATCTTAAAACAACCTTTCACCAAATTTAACAAAGGTTATGAACTAAGTGTAATATTTTATACCTAGCTATTAAACCTTATTTATATATGTAAATCCAATACTTAGGAGATTTGATTTATGCCATTTAGACATTTAAATTTACATTTTAAATATAAAAAACAAAAATTATTTTAAATGGTTTCAACTTGTGTTTGGGACTTAATTTTCTAGCTTTTTCTTGATAGGAAAATTAAGAGTAAAGTCTCACACGTTCATGATATGTTATTTATCTCTTCTTTGATCCATCAATAATTCATAGTTCTCCAAACTATAAGGATAAAAGCTTGCAAAATATAAAATTTATTTAATAATGATTTTCTTTTCTGGCTCCCACATATAATTATTTCACAGATGCACAGAGACCCGAGTTCACCGGTTAATAATCTATTTTCATCAATATGCAAAGATCAGTAACATTTTTTGCCATAAATACATGAACACTGATTCCCCGAGGAATGGGGGAAAATGGAACCCTATACTCTTTAACTTTTCTGTCCGATCTTACACTTCACATATATATATGTAAAGAAAAACGCCGTGAAACAAATTAAAAAAAAAAAAAAAAAAAGGAGCAACAATTAAAAAGACAAGAAAACTCATTCACAGATGTTGGTAACTATGAACAATGAAATAGGCCTATGAGAAAACAAGTTATTATAGTATTTTTGTACCGAAAAATTTATGCTCAGGACTCCCAAGGAGACCATCAAAGGATCTTTTGGCAAGGGAGTCTTGCAAGATGGATATTTGACCTTCCTTCTCGAGGTTGTTTTCTTCAAGTGTCTCTATCTTCTTCTTCAATACATTGACCTCTGCGTTCAACAGCATATTCTGCTCATTATATTGCTTCACTTGCTCCCACATATAATCTCTCTCCTCTGTCACTTTGGGCAATTTTCCCCTCATGATTGTCAATTCCCTGTTAGATTCTTGCAGATCATTTTGAAGGCAATTTCTACTCTCATCTTTCTTCAACATCTGCCTCAACAAATTTTTCAGGGGATTGGTCAACAGGCTTAAGTAATAGCAGATGAAAAAACTACAAAGCTCTTTACCCGCAAGACAGCTAATAACAACTTAGTACCACCATGTATAAACATCCATTAGATGAATTTAATAAATAAATTTCAATACTCCTGCGGGTTAGACTTGACTGACCTGAAGTTCAAGGTCCTTCAACTTGTGGGTTACACTTGAAAGATTATCCAAGGCATTTTGCACCTCACATCTAAGTATGTCGTTTCCTCTTACTGCTGTAGCAAGTTCAGCTTCCATCTGCTCAGCTTGGAGCTCTTTAGAGTATAGCTTCTCTCTTAATAAACTTGTCACCAAACATTCTGCTTTAAGTTCAGTTCTTAAAATATCCTATACAAGTAGCAACATGATCCATATAAATTTACAATGAACAAATTATGCAAAATAAATCAACACGTAGGTGATAGTAGAATAGTGGATTTACAATGTACTCCATAAAACTACCATTAAAGAAAACTTCCTAACGAAAGTTACCTCGGATGATTGATCATTCAGTGTAGCTAATTTAGCAGCGTCTATACACTCTGATTGAAATTTAGAAGTCAACGGATTTGACTTATCTTTCAACAAAGAAGACATCATCTGTAAACTCCTTGTTAAACCCTCAGTACCACTTCTGAGTCCCTGAATTTTAGTTTCAGATTCGACAATAAATTGCCCATCTAAACCATTTCCAATCGCTCCAAGATCCAACTGGACATTTTGACGGAGACGGCTTCCTTTCCCTTTAACAAATTCCAGTAACCTCGAACACAAGTATGAGCTTTCATTTAGCATTGTTAGGCCTTCATTCTGAAGGCAGTAGATGCGGGCCCATAGTTCTTTATCTAGTCTAAAAGTAGCAGCAACACATTCTTTCCTGTCACCTTTCAACCGGTTTAAGAGTATTATATTCTCATGGCGAAGAGAATCTGCCTCAAACCTGCAAGACTCCAACTCCTTTCTCAAGGCTAGTTCCACTCCTGTCAATCTCATTTGCTCCATTCGCATTTTTGCAGTGTGCTTGTCTACACTCTCCATGGGCTGGTTTTTATGAAGCTCCTCGCTAAACCCATCTTGTAATCCAGTTATTGTCTTTTCTTGCTCACTGCAAGTTCTTAATAACCTTGTCAGGGACTTGTGTAACTCCTTGCACTCCTTCTCCTTCTCTTCAAAATTTCTTAGGATACAATCCCTATTTTCTTCTGCTACCTTATATTTCTCTTGTAGTTCCAAGAGATTTTGCTGCAAATCCAGAATCTCCTTTTTCATTATCTCTGACTTGTCTGTCAATCCCTTGAGTTGTTGGTCAGTATATGCCATCACACTTTTGCTTTCCATTTCTCTCTCACTTAAAGAGGAGACCTCCCTTTGAAGTGATACATTCTGCTCCGCAAGCTCTCTAACTCGTTCTCGAAGCCTTTGCTCTTCTAACTGGTATTTTTCTACTTTAAATGACCAGTCATCTGACCTCCTGTCCAATTCCTTCTCCAATGCTGACTGCATCTCATTCTTTTCTTTTTCTAGTCTTTGTGTCCGATACTCCAGGTCTGTCTTTACACGGCTAAGTTCTTCCCTGGCAAAGATTCTGTCAGAAATTTGAGACCTTAGATGGGTTGAAACTTCTACAGCCAAGCTTATTTTCTCCTCTAGTAGGCGTCTGATTGTCTGAATCAGTGCTGACACATCATAACCACCATCAGGAAAAAAGCTTTCTCGTTCCAGTTTCTTTGAAAAAATAATAACCCTCTCCTCAGCCTCCTTTGATTTTCTTATTAGTTCTGCGTCCGCATCCTCTTCCGATTCATCACAGCTTAAACCCTCTAAATTGCCATGATTGCCATTTGCCAATCTGTAGGGTTCATCCAACAAATCATTTTTAGGCTGAGCATAATCGAAATCAGAGTCATAGTGTCCATTCACAGATCTAGAATAGATATCTTCAATTGTGATTGGATTTTCAACGTTAACATTCTGTGAACACGTCTTGGATAGATCACAAGACTGAGAAAGTCTCTCAATCACATTCTTTGCAAGACTCCTCGGAGATGCTGGTCCAACACCATTTTCTGACCAATCTCGGGATGAGAACCGAAGACGGGTAACTTTAGCTTCTCTAAATGAATGAACCCTTGGTTTATCTGTGACTTCATGAGTCGGTGAATTAGGTGCTGTAAGCTGAACTTTTGGAGGAAGCTTAACACCATAGCTCCCATGTCTACTATTATTTCTCTGTGAGTTGTTCATGGGTCTACTTTCCTCTGGATGCTGTTCTCCATCAATGTAACGATCCACAACCTTACTTGTAATGTTGCTGGAACAAGTGGATGAGTTCCCAGATGACTCATGATGAGATCTTGAAGAACTAGTAGACCTAGGTCTCTCATATCTGTGTGAATTTTGGACAGAAGACACTGCAACTTGAGTTGGCTTGTCCCGCTTTTGTTTCTCATAGTTAGGAGCCTGACAACTGATTTATACACATAGAAAGTTCAACAAAAATAAATATGTGAAAAATATAGCTAAGACAACGTGGAATAAACTCCAGTTTAGTCAATAACAAGCTTCAAAAGTTATCAAGTCTCACCGAGATGAATGCTCAATTTGATTATATGGATCACTAACAATGCTACTTGAAGGAGACCTGGTTGGATCTCTGAACTGGCAAGCACATGATGACAATGACCTGCTCCTTCTAAGATCTGGCCCACCACAAGAACTCTGATTATCAGAAATATGTTTTCGAGATTTGGAGAACAAGCCCTTGGGGTTCTGGAAATAATCCTCAGCTTTACCATAATCCTGATTGTTCACACCAATCTCTGAAAAACTATCCCATGCCTTTTGCTTAGTTGTTGATTTTGGTGGCGCTGCACTGTTGTTACTTCCACTGCTGGACGCAGAAGATTTGAAAAAGAATAGTCTCTTCATGCGTTAAACCTTCACTACAATCACTCCCACAAGCTCATAAAAAATCAGTCAGCTTTCGGAGATTTCCAGGACCAAGGCAGATGACAACCTACTACAGCATAGCAAAACACGAAAAAAAAAACAAAAAAAAGTAAAACAAGATTATACAAACCAGTGTTGCAAACCCACCAATTGGAAAAGGCAAACAAAACAGAAGAAATAAGAGAGAAGAAGATCACACTAAGGAGTAGCAGAAACACGTGAGATCAAAGAGAAGCAGTGATTATTTGATTTCAACAACGTCCACTTTTGAAAATTAAAAATTAAAAATTAAACAAACGATATCAAAACACAAAACGGATACGACCATGCATTAATTTAATAGTTAATTAGTAAGAATCCATCGAACCAATGACCAAGCTCATGCAGTGAATTAAAAGACCACACTATCCTCAACCCCACCGTTATCTGTTACATCCAAAACCCAGTTTCTTGGATGATTACGACAAACATGCTCTAATTATTGATTAATTCCATCAAGTAAACAATTACAACACCAGAAATCATACAAAAGAAAACGAACTATAGCAGACCCACATCCTAAAATCATCCAATTTAGTTATAGATTACTAAAAAAAGGAAAACTAAAAGAAAGGAACGAAACACTAGTGTGATCAGTTTCCTTGTTCTACAAAACCCAACTTGCATAACCCTAAACCTGACATTCAGGGCTTTTTTGACCTGTGAGTGAGAGGAAGAAAAAGAGAAACCAACTTTTCTAATTCTAACCGTCCCTGCTCAACTTTCCCAGGAGACAGAAACACAACAAAAAGAATAAAAATACAGAGAGTTGTAAAAGTTGCCAGAGATAACAACATACTTTGTATTCTAATCACTACCTTTAACGATTTATTCATGGTATACTGCGCCATTCCCTCAAATACAATAGAAATTTATCAGATTTTATTTTCGAAGATTTTATAAAATATCTATTTCATCTAATCTTTTTAATTTTATATTCACCACTCTTATTTAACCTAATTTTTTTAATTTTTTATTTAATTGATTTTTCACCACCTCTATTCAATCTAATTCTTTTCATTTTTTTATTTAATTGATTTTCTACCTATTCATCACCTCTATCCAATTTAATTTTTTTAATTTTTCTATTTAATTAATTTTCTACTTCAGTTTATAAGTTAAAAACATTTCATCCTTAAATTTTTTAATCCTTTTAATTTTTTTTTCTATTTTTAAAAGATTAACTCTAATTAACAACACATATAACACACTAGTGTATCAACTTCTTCATTCCCATAGTAGTGCAGGAGGAGTAGAAGGAGATAAAAACATTCTATGTTACATGACTTTTTACAAATAAAATAATTTTCTATAAGAATGTACAATCTTCATATGTATATTGAAGGTGAGGTTAAATTTATTGGTTTTATACAGTCTCAACTTTTTTTTAATAGGTATATACAATCTTAACCCTGCCTTTCTTATAAATATGTACAAAAAATAATATAATATATAAATAAAATAATATCTTACACGTATGAAATAATATAATATGTGGACAAATAATATAATATGTGAAAAAAATATGTAAATATAAATCAAAAAAACATCTGCTATGCACACACAATACATGATGCATACTAACAACATTTCCATAAAAAAAATTAACTTTATATGATTCACTTTAATCCAATCCAGTTATTTGTTTTTTTAATTAAAATCAATTACGAGTATCATCTACGTTGAATTAAAAATTCCAAAGCATTCTCACAAGCATTCTCACGCACAAAACATTCTCACACTAATAACTACTTTTTAAATTTTTTAAATTCTTATTCTCACTTAATAACATATATATTATTAAATTCTTAATTCTCAAATAATATATATATATATATATATATATATATATAAATCAATCATAATAAAAACATTAACATTCATTCATAAAAATTTATTCTTTAATTCATTTATTCTCTAATCTCCTTTATCTTTATTTTACCCAATAATATAATCATTTGTTCTTTTAATTTTTTATTATTTAATATATTTGATCTTTAACCTCATTTACCCAAGACTATAGAGAATTTATTTTTTAATATCTTTCGTGATGTGAACTTTATTTAGGAGATGTGTATAATCTCTCTCCTTAAGATTATATAATATATTGCACAAGCCCCAAAAATCCAATAACAGAAGCTTACACAAACACAAACAGCTTTACTCGTGATACTTGGATAATCACTGTTCTGAAAGGAGTATCTTAAAAACTATAAAGTAACTCAGTAAATAAAGTCAGGATATGAATAAGACTGAAAAAAAAAATAGAGAAGATAAGACTAGAAAGTTTTGTTTTTCAAAGAATGTGAAATGATCTTTTTAGATTGGGGTCAAAACCCTTAAATCATCCAATTTAGTTATAGATTACTAAAGAAAAGGAAAGCTAAAGAAAGGAACGAAACACTAGTGTGATCAGTTTCAGTTTCCTTGTTCTACAAAACCCAACTTGCAATACCCTAAAAGAAAGAAAACCTGAAACTCAGGGCTTTTTTAGCTGTGAGTGAGGGGAAGAAAAAGAGAAACCAACTTTTCCAATTCTAACTGTCCTTGCTCAACTTTCCCAGGAGACACAAACAGAACAAAAAGAATAAAAATAGAGAGAGAGAGAGAGAGAGAGTGAGAGAGGTTTCAAATGGAAAAAAAAAGTTGCGCTTGAAAGAAGAAGATTGGGAAGAGAAATTGGAAAAGGAAATGCAGCAGACATGGAAATGTGAAGTCTACAAAAATTTACAATAATAATAATAATAATTAAAGAGGGAGAGGAGGGGTTTGACTCAGAAATGATAACCAAAAATATGATAGGAATGAAAAATGTTAAGAGAGAGTGAAATTGAAATAGGGAATTGGAATGATTTTACCTAAAGGAAGGGATTTAATGATTGACAATGAAGTGAGATGATTACAGGTGTGAAGAGCAAAAACTAACAACAATCTCTTTTTCTTTCTCAACTTTGTCACCAAAAAGCATTAGAAATGCAGGAGTTGAGTGTTGCAGTGAGTGAGTGAGAGAGTGGGAATATTGGGAAAAGGGAAAGAGCAGAAGAGGAACAGAAATAAATTCAAAAGCTTGGTATGCCTAACACTGGTGTTTCGAAAGATTGAGTGTGGGACCCACACTACTAGTTTAACTTTTTAATTTGTATTCTTTGACAAGTTATTTGATACAAACGCGGCATGCAACTTACACGCAACTGCATCATGAATGATAGTACTGCCCTAATAATTTTTGGTTATTTATGAGTGAAAGGAATACTTATCCCTTCGGTCAAACCGTTAAATTATTAATTGACTTTATTTATAATTAAAAACTATGTATTAATATAATTTGAAATTTAAAATAATGTAATTTTAACTTTTTTTATTACATACAGAACGAAATTTTTTTAAATTAATGTAATTTTACAGTTTAAAATTTCAAAATATCATTATAATAATGTAGTTAATATAAAATAATTGTTTTAATAACATCATATTTTTTTAAAATAATAAATTGAAAAATAACCAATTTTTTACGTTATTTTACCGAATTAAACTAAGTCGAACGTATTTTTGCCTGAACATCAATTAATTTATTTATCAAGTTCTAGGACGATCGATCTGGGTTTTTTAATATATAATTATGTTAGAAGATAAATTATACCACGGATTTGATACAGATAATAAAGATAATTAATGGTTTAAAAAATAGTAAGTTTATTTTATTATCTTTTTATCTAATTCTATTTATTTTTATATTTCTTTCCTTTATGTTAATTCAATATTTTCAATTTTCACATATTTTTATATATTTTTTAAATCATATGTATTTTTCATTAAAAAACTTGATAATGCATCTTTGATTTTTTAATTTCTTTTACCAAAGGAAATAATAACAACAAATTATTCTAAAATGAATTGAAATATGAAATTTATTAGAAAAATAATTAAATATATTCTATTATATCCCCTTAATAATTGTTTGTATATTATTATCCAAAATTATTTATATTATTTGTAGCTACCTTATAAATCGCTACTATAATGATATCTTTGCAAAATAGTAAATAATAACATCTATATTACATTATATTGGTGTAATTGTAATATAAACTGAAATCTCGGTTCATTGGCGGAACCTCAAAACATAAGTAACATAATTTATTTATATAGATACATGTAAAAGTAGCTCCCACAAAGCTACCTCACTGAACTATCTCTGTTGTCCAGTAGTCGCATCTCCACCTCTCAACTCCTGATTTATTTCCACTCATAGTCTCATTCACATGGAAAAATAAGGGTAAGTATTAAATCATTCGATATAATAAAACAAATATAAAAGTAATAATTATATATTATCATCAATTACAAATCATCAATACACTAAGACATCTTCTGGAAGTCTACCCTAACTATGTTCGAACTCAAAGGCTATCATCTGTGGGCACATTATGATCGGCACCTACAGTACCATTCTGACCACCCTCCACACAGAGTAGGATTACTGACGCCCTTCATCACTCATACTGGAGTACCCTTCCGAGCGCACCACCAATCATCCTCCATCGACTTCTCACCATCTGATCTCGTAATCTACCTGACCCGACCAATCAGTGAAGTCTGGGACCTCATTCAAAATCCTCCGACATAGTTATTACACTAATGTACTCTATACCACCCCGGGTACCGTTCAAACACAACAAAAATCATTCACATATATCAGATTCTGGACCACTTGTCCTCACGGCTCATTCGAGTAAATAATAGTATTTGACTGATTTTGGGCACCTACCCTCCAGCTCAGTCTAGTCAATACATAACATTTCATGACTGATTTTGAGCATCAGCCCTTAGACTCAGTCTGACTCACACATGCCACAACACATTGCTGAATCTTTCTAATTTCATTCTATATTTTAATTATTTTTCTTAACATACCTTTACTTTATTTCTAAAATTTCAAT